GTACGGGGCAGTGTCTGTCCGTGGTCCAGGCCCGAGGCTGGGCGCCGGGTCGGCGCCAGGGGCGTGGCTGTCATCTGGCAGGGTGGCCCTGCCCTCAAGCCTGGGTCTGGTGAGGGACGGGAGGGCTCTTCACTCACCTGTGGGCGCTGTGCCGCCCGGCACTTCTCCATGGCACAGGTGAGAGTGGAGGCTCAGGACAGGGAGGACAGGCCGCAGAGGCATCGTGAGTGGCCGGGTCAGGCCTCGACCCGGGACCCGTCTACCCGTCTGCCTGGAAGCCTTTGCTTTCTCCACCAGACGGCACACTGCTTGTGCCCCGGTGCTGGGTGAGGACTTACAAAACGCTAGCTCGTTTCAGGCCAGATTCAGTGGTTGAGAGCGTGCGCCTCCAGCACACACCAGCCCTCAGAGCAGCAGGACCCGGCCAGACTGCTTCAGAGCCGCAGGCGTGGGAGTGTCTCTGGGAATTGAGCTGGTGGCTGCTGGAACCTGCCTGTTCTCTGGCTCTGGCTCCTCCCGTCATAGGCGGGGCCAGTGAGGGCGGCGTCCCCCTTGGACCAGTTTGTGGGGCGCTCCCTCCCCAGCCTCCTCAGCCTGGCATGCAGCCCCATGCCCCCTGTACTGGTGTGCCGGCCCAGCCCCGAGGCAGGCACCGTCGGGGAGGGTGTGCGGGCCCATGTTGGGGCTTACACATTTTAAACCCACTCAGGCAGCCATGGGACTTCCTGTGCAGGAATTGTGGCAAATTATGTGAGAGCGTAGTCCAGATGTATTATATAAACTAATACACCCACTTTCATGTCTGGTTCGTGTTATTCAGAAAAGGACTGCGGAAATGAGTGGAGGTGGTTCCGTTTTTATAATTAATAAACACGCTAAAATGCAGAATGTTACATAATCTTCCAGAAATGAAGGGAACTTGCAAATTTTGAGTTATGACATATAGATTATGAAAGGCAGCAAATTTCAGCCTTAATGACTGTTAATGGTCTGGCTTTGTTGTCAGTAAGAAGAAAGTAACAGTCTGACCTGGTCGGCTCTTTTCACCCTGAACAGGACTTAGCGGAAGGTCGGGCCCTTGGATAGTTCACTCTGCTGGAGCAGGGAAAAGATAGTATTGGAAGTTTTTCATTATAATTTTTAAAATATGCCTGCCTGTTCTCAGGAGGACATTTTTGACATTTTGGAAATACTCTTTGGTTAAAGCGGTTTTATCCTTTGAAGGACTCACGCATGTGACGAGTCTTTGAAAAGTGACTTGCCCTGCGGTGTGGGTGACGCAGCCCTGGGACCAGACGCTGTTCCTGGGCACCATCCATGGCACACAGGGCTCACACCCAGTTTCCTCTCCCCAGTGCACTTTAGAAATGCCGGTCACCCTCATCTTGAAGTCGTTGAAGAGGCCATTTTAGTTCTGCAGTCAGACTGGGACCAAGATATCTCCTTTGCCACCCTGGAACCAAAGCGGCAGAATCTTCTAGATCCTGCCAGGCTGGAGAAACAGAACTCAGTGCTTGGTGACCACTCACAGCCCGGTCCTACCATTCTCAGTGCACACGTCTTACTGGAACCAGACCTACCAAGGGAGGAAAGGTTCTGACACTCCGACCCCACACTGGCAACTACCCCTTTCCCACCTGCGTTCACAGGACTGCCCCCGGGATTGGCACAGGTTTCAGGTGGCCAGGCCACCTGCCCCATCAGGCAGGTGCCTGGAGCCTGGAAGGTCTTACAGCCATGTGGCTGACTGGGTGTGGGGCCCTCCAGAGCCTCAGATTACCCACAGGGAATTTGCTTTTTCTGTTACAGACTCTATTATTTAAATCACCCTCCCCACTGCCCGCCAAATAAAGTCATTTATTAGATGCTTTTCCGTCTTTAATAGGTCTGCACATTTGGCTCGCTTCTGCTTTCTTATAAAATATGGTCTATGGTATTATATTTTATTTTTAACTGAACTACTATACATATGTAAATAACTTTTCTTTTTTAAATGAGAAATTCTTTTTTTAAGATTTTATTTATTTATCTTTAGAGGGGAAGGGAAGGAGAGGGGGAGAGAAATATCAATGTATGGTTGCCTCTCATGTGTCCCCTGCTGGAAACTGGCCATGAGTCCCCTCTCCCAGACATGTGCCCTGACTGGGAATCAAACCGTGATCCTCTGGTTCGCAGGCCCGCGCTCAATCCACTGAGCTACACCAGCCAGGGCAATAAATAACTGATGGGAAGAAAAGATATTAATGTAATACTAGCCTCCTATCAGTGAACAGAACAAGTACATCATTTAAATTTATGTTCCACTTTGAGTTGCTGCAAATACAGCCCAATTTGTTTACTTTTTAAAAAATATTTTATTTATTTATTTATTTTTAGAGAGAGGGGATGGGAAGGAGAAAGAGTGGGAGAGAAATATCAATGTGTGGTTGCCTCTCCTGTGTCCCCTACTGGGGATCTGGCCTGCAACCCAGGAATGTGCCCTGACTGGGAATCAAACTGCGATACTCTGGTTCGCAGGCCCGCGCTCAATCCACTGAGCTACACCAGCCAGGAATTTGTTTACTTTTGAAAGATGTGATAGTTAAAGAAATCTACTGAAGAACGATTCGTGGCCGTCTTTCCAACGCTGTGCACTTGTTATAAACTCCGTGTGGGACTGTCCCTCGTCCCCACCCCTTCTTGCAGGCCCTCAGTTGTAGAGACGTGGATGGGCCTTTGATAGAGGCGTGATGCAGAAAGACTTCCCCTCGTGTTAGCATAACACACGAGGACTCGGGAGGGAGGCTGGGCATTGGGGTGCACGGACGTCGCCTTCCTGCCCGATGTGTTAGAGTCAGAACCAAGACGGGGCACCCCAGTTCTGGGGAGCCTGGAGACCTGCCCATGCACGCCGGCGTTTCGGGGCGCTGTGGTGCTCCTCCGCGCCACTCACTCACAGCGGAGATTTCGTACTTGTACAATTTAAACTAAGAAAGATGCTCTAGAATTTAAATAGGGTTCTCATTAGTTAGTAATTCAAGGTTCTATAGGTGTTGGGTTGACTTCTGCACGTGTGTGTGCTCACGTTCCTCTTGTTAATGCGTGTGTCTCCTCAAAGGTGGGCACGAGGGAAGGAAGAGGCTGCCCCGTGGGGCCACGGGCCCACTGCCAAGGGCATGTCAGCTGCATCCATTCTTCCCCTGGGCCTTTTTCTTGTTAGTGTTTTTTTTTTTTTCTTTTAGTGTAAAATAAAATGTCTGGAGCTGGCTCTTGAACATGCTGCCGTCCAGGCTGTTCCCCTGCCCCAGTCCCACAGAGCCGCTGCTTTACACCGAAGGGCAGGCTCCGAGCGCGCCAGAGAAAGCGGGGTGCGCCAGGGTTGCGTCTGCACAACTTCGGCAAAGCGGGGGTCGTAGGTGGGGGCTAGGTATCAACAGGAAACGCCTCAGTCCATGCTGTGTTCGATTCTTGCCTGTAGTGAGAAGGTGGAGGTAGTGTTTTGCTTCAGTAACAAGCGATTTAAATTTTTTATTGCCTAGCAGTTCAGATCGTCATGTTGTTAAAATCGGTTGGTCTCACAGCGAGTAGAGTTATTCAACTGGAATCTTGTATTCTGTGCAGGGCTTAATTTTCCATCAAGGAAAGGAGATTAGCTTCTGTTTGGGCCGAGAAGTGTGGAGCTTGGCGGCGGCCCGGAGACGCTGGCGAGTCACCAGCCTTTAAAGTGTCATCTACGCGCGAACACTTTTCTGTGGTGGGGTGCCTTTCCAGCGCAGAGTTCATTTGTTTCTTTTTTTAATGATGGTAACTTCCCTGCAAAAAAGATGCGTTTAAAGCTCCCATTTTAGTGTGTGTGTGTGTGTGTGTGTGTGTGTGACCCCTGAGCTTTCACTGAGATCGCTCTGGTTCTCCCAGCGTCCTCTCCGGTGTCCCCCCATCACTGAGAGCCCCTTGCGCCAGCCCTGTGGGCCCCGGGGCCGAGCGTGTGGGGTCCGGCCAGCACACGGGGACCGCCTGTTTCCTTGAACTCGGGGCCTCCCCGCCAGTGAAACAGTGGGAAAGTACAAGGTGGGCCTCTGCCAGGTTGGGCCCCCGTGCCAGCCTTTCTCGACATGGCCGGCACCCCTTCTGACGGGTTCTTCTCCACCGCGCCTTCCTCACTGCCAGAATTCCCAAGCATTTTCAAAATGGACAGATTTTTTAAAGATTTTTTACTATTCTTATTATTTTTATTTATCTTTAGAGGAGAAGGGAAAGAGAGAAGGAGAGAAATATCAGTGTATGGTTGCCTGTGCTGGAAACTGGCCTGCAACCCAGGCATGTGCCCTGACTGGGAATCGAACCCCAATCCTTTGGTTCTCAGGTCTGCGCTCAATCCACTGAGCTACACCAGCCAGGGCGAAATGGGTGGGTTTTGATGGCAGTTTTGCAAACCTCTGTAAGGTCTGTGTCCCACTTCCGGGGAGGCCAAGTGCTGGGTTTGGTTCGGTTTGGTTTTTGTCACCAACCCGAGCCCACGTCTGCTGAAAGGAGCTATATTTCTGCGATGTTGGTTTTCTCATTCATGCTAGGAAACCGATGTTTAAGCACTTTAAGACCCTCTGCACGCAGTGCGTGCACTGGCGGATGAATCAGGGCCTTGTTCATGCATACTTTCTCCAGGTAGTTGGCCCCGAATTATGCAAAGATTGTGTTATAAACAGACTCGGAGAAGAGGTGCCAGTTTCCTAACAGTGGCTGGAAGCGGTCTCGTGTTCCAGACTAAAGGAACATTAAGAGCAGCTTGGAAACTTTGAGATGGAGTTGGGGGGCAAGGTGGGAGCTGGGGAGATGCGGCTTCTGGGCGATGCCTTTGTACTGATCTCAATAAAGCTTCGGACGGTTTCAAGGAGCGCTCGTGTCCTTCCAGCTTCTTTAAGGCGTGTCCACGTGGAGCCCCGCCTCTGTTCATCGCGCGGCGCGGGGGGGGGGGGGTCGTCCCACAGCGGGTTGGTGACGCGTGGGCGCCGCAGGCAGTAGGGATGACGACGCCGGGAGACACCGGGCAGAGGGCCATGCAGCGGGCGGAGGCGGGCGCAGAGGGCGGAGCGGAAGCGGGGCCGCAGGGGGGCGCCCTTTCTCAGGAACCCGCGGCCAGCGGCCAGGGGCGTCTCCCCGCACAGTCCGGGGCCCGTCCCCGCACCCTGAGTCGCAGCGCGGACCCGCAGGCCGAGAGCCTGGTGCTCGATGAGGTCCCAGACGTGTTCGTCATGAGGCTGTTGCTGGAGGAGACCGGAGAGACGTTCGAAGTGCCAAACTGCCGCGGCGACATGACTGTGCGCGAACTCAAAGAGGAGCTGGACCTCATAGCCGGCGTCCCCTTGAACCTGCTGCAGCTCCACTACCTGGACCAAGGTGGCCCCAGCTCAGCCCCGTCCCTTACCTTCTGTGTTCCCTCGACCCGGAATGCCCAGTCCCCTTCTGCACCTGTGACCCTGAAGGGACACCTGCCCAGGGAGCATCCCTCAGATGTCAAACCAAACCCCGACCCACCGGAAACCTCGGATGGAGGCCTGGGGCTGGGAAGGGCCCAGAGAGGCAGGTTCACGTTAGACCTCCTGCCTCAGGGCAAACCCCACTCAGAAGAGTACCCCACTCCACAGACAGCCCGGTCTGTGTCAGGGTCCCGCCCCCACAGCACGTCCTTACCCAGGGCAGGACCCCGATCCCAAAATACCCTGCCACAGGGGGGCCCTCCAGCTCCCCAAGCCCTCCTCAGGGGCCCAAGTCCCCAAACCAACGGTGCCTGCAAGCACTGTTAAGACTGCAAGCCCCACCCCTCACTAAAATGGCCGTCCTCAATGGGACCCTGTAACCCCCGAGAACCTGCTCACAGCAGGACCCCAAACTCAAAGCAAGCTTCAAGCCTCTATGCTGGATACATGTATATAAGGATCCCCAATCCTCCCCAGCCTGCCGTGTCCACGCAAGGACGCTTAAGCTCAGAACAGCCCCGCCCCCTTTAGGACCACAAATCCAAAATACCTTTGGCCAAGACTGAGCCCCAGGCCCCTAGGCCATCCACATGACTGTCAGGACCCCCAACCCCCAGCAGCCTCGCTCACTGAGGGACGCTAGAGCCTAAGACAGACTCTGCCCACCTGAGAACCCCACATCTGTACGGAAAGTATGCCTGCATTTGACCTTCAAATAAAGTCCCTACGCTCCCCTGCCTGCAGCAGAACCCTGAAACCCAGAGCCAACTCCACCCAGATGTGGCCCCTAAACCCCCAGCAGACATGGCCGATTCTGAGCCCTCCAGTCCTCACCTAACCACTCGGGTATTTGACCCCCCATCCATCAGCCGTCTGTATGTACACAAGTGTGCCGGAGCCCAAAGCAAACTCTTCCCGCACCTGACACCAAAATTCAAAGCCCCCCCTGCCCATGTCTGCAGGCCTGGTCCCAAGTTCACCGTGAGAAACGATACCAGCCCCCCAGCCCCAAGCTGTCCTCACAGGGGCTCCAAAGCAAGAGACAAACTGCCTGCAGTGGTTCCCCCAGATCAAGTCAAACCTACCCATGTCTGCCCCCTAAATCTCTATGGAAAGCATGCCTACATTGGCACCCCAAGCTTTAAGCCAACCATATCCATGTAGGGAAGACAAAGTTCAAAACAAGCCTCACTTACTACGCGAGCGCACTCAAACTTGAAGCAAACTCTGCTTGTACTTGAAACCCAAACCCCTCAGCCAACCTTTTCCACCTCAGAACCCTAAGTTCTAGACCAAACCTTGTCTGTCAGGACCCCAAATCTCAGAGCAGACCCTGTTGCCATCAAGACCCCCAAGTCCAAGGGCAGACCTGTCTAGTTCCCTGCCCCCGTGCCCCACTACCCAGGGCTACATCGAAACCCCCAAATCTCAAAACAAGCCCAGCCCACTCAAGGTCTCCACATCCCAGAACAGACCCTTCCCTTTACCAGGACCCTGAGACAGAGAGCTCACCATGCCCTCATCAGAACACCAAATCCAGAGTAAACTCTGCCCTCATCGCCACCCCATCCACGTTTAAACCCCAAACACAGGCACTAGCCAAGTTCCCATCTGAACCCTGAATCTCAAGCTGCATCCTTGTCCGGATCAGGAGCTCAAAGCCAGCCCAACCAGAACCAGAACCCAGCACCCAAAGCTCCCTGTGGCTAAACTGGGACCCCTGGGCTCCCGCTTCAGGCACCTCCCACCTGGGAGTCACCCAGTGGAGGGTGAACACCCTGGAGCCCATCCTCTCCTTACGCCATCTCCGTCCATCAGCTTGAGGACCTGGCTGTCCCTCTCCCGCCCCTTACAAGACTTAGGACACAGAACAGGATCAAAGCCCCCGTCTCCATGACTTCCCCCCCTGGTGGAAATCAATGCAAAATAAGGTGAAGAAAAGAGGGGCGGAGGCCGGAGCGGCAGCACCGAGACCGCGGTGCAGTGCGGCAGGTCCTGGGGGCGGGCGGACGGGCCCTCGGCCTCGCCCACAGCGCCACGCCCCTCACACTGCCCCGCCCCCCCCAGGGCTCAGTTCCCCCATCTGCGCGGAGCCCTCTTATCCAGAGAAGCCAGTCCCCTCCCGAGACGGAAACGACTCAGGAAAGCTGTACGGGAAAGGCCGAGGGCCCTTCCTACGTGTGGGTGGTGCAGAGGAGTGTTTGGGGGGCACAGCTGAGGCTCCGTCGGGAGGGAAACGGGACTCGAACCCAGTGAGCAGTTAACATGTTAAACACGAGGTGAACTCTTGAAGGACCTTGGGTTCCAAACCCAGTAATTAGAGAATGACCTGTCCTGGACCCTAAATATCCGGCCCCCCTTCTGTGAATTTATTTCTGCCAGGGAGCTAGGCCGAGGCCATAAATTCAAGAAAGCTAAGTCACAGGATTGTGACTTGACTTTGAGGTCACAATCCTGCCCTTAGCAACCAGCACTTAGCGACTGTGATGAGAAGTTCGGTCTCCCGGGTGGTTTCGGTCCTCACTGTGAACGGCCCACACGCAGCAGAGATGGTGGACAGAACTCGGGCTTTGTTCGGCCTGGACGTCAGGAACTGGCAGCTAGCCCTGGACCTCAGAGGTCACCGGGGGCATCAAGTGAGACAATGCTCGCGGAAGCCTTGAGAGACACAAATCTGAGAGGGGTGAGCAAACTCATGCACGAGGGTGCCCCTGATGTCTGTCATCAACTCTAATCGTTCATTTAGCGGGTGATAATTAGCATTTGCTGCCCGCGTGTCAGGTAGGCGATGGGCCCAGGTTCCCCGGAGGAGCTGTTCAGCACACGGGACCCACGCGCTCTTGTTGCTCACGGGGAAACACAGCTGTACTCACTTTTTCCAAAGTTGATGGGAAGACAAGTTGTCTTGCTTACACTAGTTACCATTTATCCTCTGTGTTGGAACCTTAAATAAGACCCTAACGAACAGATTTGCTGGTCACCGTTTCCCATTTGCCTCTGCTAGCTGGAGTGGCTGGTGACCAGTGATGCCCACAGCAGCCAGAGGGACAAGTGCCCAGAGCACAAAGGGAGATGGGTCAGGTCGGGGGCTTGGCTTTGCCGTGTGCCAGGGGCCTGAGTTTGCTTACCAGCCAACGGAGGCAACAGACCTCTCTTGCCTTGAGGTTGAAAGAGTGTGGTTACTTCTTACGGGTGCTCAGTAATTACTTGGCCATGAAAAAAACAAATCTTGTGAATCCCACGTGGAGTAAGTGACGCACCGATCTGGGCAGAGTGGAGACTTCCCCTGTGAGGTGTCATTTACAGAGAAAGCAAATTATTCTCTGTTCAGCAGGGTGATAGGTGACCCCGTAAGAAAACATGCGGTATTCAAAACAATAGAGTAAATACAACTGCTGTACCCTCCTCCTATTCCTGTCTCCCCCAAAGAATCTACAGGTATGAGGCGTGGGTGGGTTCACCCCTCTTTTCATCAGAGTAAGGGACTGTTCTGGCCGATTCGCTAGACAAAGGACTTGAACATCCCGGATCCAAATTACGGTGAATGTCGACATTACAATTCTGGTCATCATTGGTTCTCAGCTGGGGCAGTTTTGTCCCCCAGGGGCCATTTGGCAATGTCTGGAGACTTTTTAATTGTATGTTTTTATTGAATTTATTGGGGTGACATTTGTTAATAAAGTTACATAGGTTCCCGGTGTACGATTCCCTAGCGCATCATTGGTATATAGTATTGGGTGGTCACCATCCAAGTCACGTGTCTGGCAGCATTTTTCCTGGTCATAACTGGGGCACGGTGGTCCTGGCACCCCACGGATAGAGGCCAGGGATGCTGCCGAACTGCCTGCAATGCACAGCACAGCCCCCCAGCAGAGAAGGGTCCGGTCCAGGGTCCCAAGGGTGTCCAGGCCGAGACACGCAGCTATAGCTTGTCATTTGGACGATGCGACACGTTTTCGTCACGGCTGCTTCCGTAGCCAACAACGTCAACATCGCCCAGAGCGTTGGAGCCTGACGTCTGTGACTCCGGTGACTGCATTGTGCCGTGCCTGGGGCAGATTGTCACTCGGGTTTGGTTCTATTTGTAGAGTTTACCTCATAAAATGACTCAGGCTTTTTTCACAATAGGATGAGTTATAATTACAGACTTTTATAAATCGTTGCCTTTTTTTTTTTTTTCTGTGGTTTGGCTTCTCTTTGCACTGAGCCTAATTAATTTTCTGAAAGCATTGCCAACCCCAAACAGATGGGGGTGAGGCCATCCAGGGGGGGCCGGTGCCCAGGGCTCTGCAATTATCTTCCTGATGCCCGAGGTCAGGTCATCCCTCCACTAAACCAACACAATAGTTTATCTTGAATGCCCAGTTTTTTTGTGTGTGTGTGTTTTTTAAAGAAAACCTGATTCTCTGTAGGAGTTATGATGGATGACAGCACTCTGAACTTCCATGATGTTGTTCCCAGAGGAATTATTTCATTATGTGTCTGGCACTATGATGGATGGACAGACCTGGTTTCGGCAGCTGTGGAAGGGGATACCAGCAAGGTGCTTTCATGATTCTTTAAATGGGTATCACACTTCATGAAGCAACTGTAAATCGTGTGCCTGTGTGTGTGTGTGGGGCAGCACCTGTGCTTTCGTGTGAATGTCAAGTGGAAGTTTCAGAATAGGTAAAAACAGTAACAAGGGCTTCAGTCCGAAATCAATCAAATGCTGGATTGAGCATCCCTGTTCACTTGTTGGGTTTGTGATCTCCTCCCCATGTCCACTCACGGGTGATTTACAGCTCACACGCACCTCCCAAGGGAATCAGGGCACCCTGCCTCGGCTCTCAGGTGGGTTCGGTGAGGCTGGACACCTGATCTGATCACCAGCGAGACGCTGGGGACGACCCGAGTGTCAGAAGGTGTGGCCCTCCATCCTCGTGGGGTCCTGCCCACGGCTCTGCTGCATACGCCGTAGCAGGCGTCTACTTTCCGCCAGGCCTTGCGCTTGGCTCTCAGCGGGGCTCTGGGGTGGGCAGTGAGGGGAAGGAGGCAGACACCAGCTTGTCCACCCAACAGTGAAGATGAATCACTCAGACACAAGGGGACAAGTGTATGTTCTTTCTAGAAAGTGAATTTGGCTGAAAAGCGATGAGCTCACGGTGCGGGGGAGACCAGTGCAGTTCCGGCTGGGAGAGGGGTCAGGGGAGGCTGGGTGCAGGGGGGTGTTGGGATTAGGTCAGGGAAGGGGGGGGTGGCGCTCAGGGAGGTAGGGCCAGGATTTCAGCACGTCCGAGCGGGTGCGAGGCCCCAGAGGGAGGGTGGGGTGGGGTGGGGCCCTGCCCAGGTGTCTTGTCTGCACAGCCCCTCCCGCGCCCCTCCCTGCTTTTCTCCCCCTCCCAGGCCTGCCCTAGGAGTTCCGTCGACGCCCGGGCATTCTGGCTTTTGCTCTGGAAAGCGGTTATCCACTTCTGTCCTGAGTCAGAATCGCCAACCCCCCTCCTGGTGCGTGGTCACATTCTCTGCTTCCTGCTGCCCCACGCCGGGCACAGGCGTCGGGGACAGTGTTCCAGCCCCACTCCCTGGCCCCTGTGCCGGGAGCCTTAATCCACCCTGAGATGATGATGGCGTGGGGTTGGTATTCACCAAGAGCTGAGTTCAGAGTGTTCCAAAAGTTAACGGAGACCGTGGGCCTGAACACAGACGGGAAGGTCGGAACTCGTCAAGTCTCCGGGGCAGTCTGCTCCCCTCCGGGGAGCCGCTTCATGCTGGCTGGGGTCTTCCTTGCCGACCACAGCCACCTTCCTCTGGACACCCAGATAAATCTATTTTTCTCTCTTCAGAACATCGACAGGAAGAACTTCCTGCCTCCCAGGCCAGCCTGATGGAAAACTCATACTTCCTGTCCACTCACGTACAGAGTATCAGTGTCCCCCACGCCACCTGTTTTCCAGCATCTCCACGAGGGTTTGCTCCTCTCGGTTCCCATCAGGAGCCCCCCTGTGGCATCGGAGTGAACCGTCCCTGGGGGCCGAGTGCCCTGTCCCCTGCCAAGCCAGGGCGCCGTCCTCGGGACGCCACTGGGACTCACTCCACTCCGTGTGTCTCCCACAGCTCGCTTGCCTCGGCGTGGTTGAAGATTCTCCGTACCAAACCGCGAATTCGCAGTATTTGGGGGAGAAGCACTGGAGGACCTGGGTGGCCCAGAGGGCGTTCGTGGCCTTGTACATCGCCTCACACAGGGGCCGCGTGGAGGCTGTCCAGTACCTTCTAGAACACGGTAATTTGGATAGACCTCTGAGGCCATTCAAGAGTCGGGGGCTTTGTGAGTAGGGAGAGCAGAGGGGCTTGTCTTCCTGGGCCCAAGGCTCGCCAAGCACCCGTCGTGGTCCCTGGCTGAGGTATCTTGGGACGTGCTCACCAGGGGCTGCGTCCCCTCCCTTCCTTGGCCTGGTCTCATGGGAAGTCTTTCTGTGGACCGGACATGGAACTTTCGGGGGGGGGGGGCGGCCGAAAGGGCTTCCTGGCTCCTGTGTCTGACCAGGCACACTGGGGGTGTTCCTCCCTGCCCCCCACCGAGGTGGGGTGTCTGCCATGGTTCGAGGGGAGGGCCCCAAGCCGCACCCTTCTCTTGGTGGCTGGTCAGCCAGTCTCCTTCCTCCAGGCCTATGAGACAGTCACCCCAAACCTGGTGGCCTGCTTTTCATCTCTCTCCTCTCTCCCCACTCCTACCTCCTTTAGCTTGCATTGTCCCCAGATCAAAGGGTTTTGTGCATGACCCTGCAGGGGACACTTGGTCTTCCCTGGGGGATATTTGGGGGGAACAAGGCCCATAGACTGGGGTTTAGTTCATTGAAGACCACGGACAGTACTTGTAGACAGCCCAGGCCAGGCCACCACTTCCTCCGGAACGGGAGGGACAAGAGACGGAACTTTGGTCCGTGGGCCTTTGATCCATGATTGGCAGCTCAGAAGGGGCCTCATCCAAGGGTGTCCCCATTCTCTCCTGCTCATGGCCTTGACCCTGCCGCTCTGCAACCTGTCTTTGCTTTTCTCCCACTTCCACCAAGCAAGGTTGGGGGGGTACCCCGACACTCAGACGGGGTGACTGGGCCGTGCGTCTGTGATGGACAGAGTGTTTCAGCCTTCTGCACTCCGCCTCTTATAAGATGAAATACGGGCTTTTCACAGCCCAGTAGTCCTTTAAGCTCATAGAAAGTCATTTTCACTCTGATGGAACTGTGATGTATTTGAAAGCACCAGTTAAGAAATTACAGCCAGCATCGCGAAGATTCCTGTCCTTTGCAAGACAGCCGCCGTGAAAAGGCGTCTTGGCCAAGGCTGGGCGTCATGCAAACCGATTTAATTAACCCTTCACCTCACCGGCCAGCCATGGCTGCCAGACATGGGCTGTCCCCGGGTCAGCAGCATGAAGTCCAATGGCCTTGTTTCCTGTGTCATGACGTCTGTTACCCAGGGTTTGATGCCATTCAACAAGTCCCCATTGGACACCTGTCATCGGCCCACCCACTGGGTGGGAGGCAGTGACGGGCACGACGGGAGCTCCGGCCTGCCCAGGAGGCAGGGGGCCTGTCGTCTGTCATCTCCTGGGCGCCTGTCTTCCCCAGGCCTCGCGCAGCGTGCCGGGGAGGAGAGCAGCAGTGATCAGAGCAGCCATGTGTGCTGCTCTTGTAGAGCTTAGGACGGGGAGCCGGGAAATGATTACAGATAATTAATTCCACGGTCGGGGGCACACAGCGAGTTCTGAAGGTGCAGCCCATCTCCTGGGCATCTATCCAGTGCATGGGGCGGAAGGGGGGTGAAGGAAGGGTTTTCTGAAGGAGCAAATGAGACCTAAGGAAGGGTAGAATTAGTCTAGGGGGAGAGAAAAGGATGAGAGTGTTTAGCAAATGGCAGAGCGTGTGCAAAGGGCCAGGGGCAGGATGAGCGAGCGGGGTTATTCACGGGACAAGGATAGGAGGCTGGACTGATGGGCCCGTGGACAGGGAGAGGAAGAACAGTGCAGGGTCTTGCTGCAGTGACAAGGGGGGCGGGCAGGGGAGGTGACAGAGAGCAGGGAAGACCTGGAACGTCACCCCAAGGGCAGCGGATGTCAGCACCGGAGGTGGAGGAGGGCCTTTAGAAGGATCCCTGGCGGCCGCAGATGGGCAGCTGGAGGCGAGGCCGTGCTGACCACTGGGGGGAGCGCTGCCCCCTCCCTCGCGCCCGGTTCAGAACATGGGGAAACACTGTGGACTCTCCCGAGCTTTCCCCTCAGGGCTGCTGCAGCCTCTCCCTGGCTTCTCTCCCTGGACAGGCCAGGAGGGCGGTCCCCCCCCCTCACCCACGTTCTTGTTTTACAGGTGCCAACTGTCTCGGCCGGTCCCCCATGGGCAGGACGCCTCTGCACGTGGCCGTAGCCATGGGCCAGTCGGATTGCATAAGCCTCCTGCTCAAGTTCGGGGCGTCCATCCTCGCCAAGGACGCCAAGGGCATGAGCCCCCAGGCCATCGCCCGCCAGCTGAACCACAGGAGAGATGAGCGGCAGATGTTCCTGTCCTACTGGATGACAAAGTCCGAGAGAAAGGACCCAAAGGACTCGGGGGAGACCAAGGCTCTCCCGAGCAGAAAGTCCGGCCCCGGCTCCGACTCCGGCTCCGACTCCGGCTCCACGCAGTAAAATAAGACTCAGCTCCCACTGCGGTGTCTGCTGGTCGCAGCCGATTTGGGCAACTTGGGAAGAGTTCAGATGACCCTTGGTGGGTGGGAAGGCGGGGAAACGCAGCAATCCAGCCAAATCAGAGAGTAAATTATCTGTCCTGCTCACAAATGACCTGGGCAGGAGTTGATAGGAAAAGGTGAGTTGTGTCCATTTTGTAATCCATTACGGCCCTAATAGGCTGATGGCAGCCTTTAATTGAAGCTATTTGTACCTGGTGCCCAATAACGCCGCTTGGGGTGAGGAGGGCCGATTACCTTCTCCCACGTCTGGAGGCTGTCTAATGCATCGGGGTAATGGGCGTCACCGGGATAATGAGGACAGCTCTGTTGTTATTGTACTGAGCGAGTGTTGGCAAATGTTGGGAGGGCATGGGCAGCGTGGACTGTGAGGTTCAGTTTGTAAAAATCACAGAATTAAAGGCTCTCGTGGCTAGAAATGTTCCAGAAGTTCTCCTGAGCCACCCTGGAGGGGTCTGCTGCTTGAGTTGGGGGTCTGAGGAGAGCTTGGTTCTCCAGACATGATCTCCACGGGGTGCCTGATTTGTTGAACGGTGACACGTTGGCGTGGAACTTGGCGGAGACAGTGTGAGAGATGATGGTGAGCTCCTAGAAGGAGGCAGCACCTCCTTTCCCTGTGTCCCACCACCTGCCGCCAGCTTTTTCCTTTCCTGCATCAGCGCCTGTGCTGAATTCTAGGCTCTGTAGCTCAGAGCTGCAGACCTGTGGGCCTGCTGTGTGGGCGAGTGAGCTGGGAGGGGAGATGATAAGGAAGGGTGAGGACTGGGGCAAGCAGACATGCACTCTCCTGTCCAAAGAGGGCGCTGTGGCTCAGCTCCAGCGGAAACATGGCTCACAAGCTGCTACTAGATCTTTCCAAGCTCTCTAGAGCTGGCAGCCTGGCTTTTTGTCTGGTGTTCAGGTGTTGGCTTCCTTTTTTAAGGATTGCGACGCAGTACAAAAGGAGAAGACAGTTGGAGGCACACCCATAGGACTGCCCTCCATTGTCAGACTAACTCATTTCCCAGAGGAAAGTGGTAGAGACGACATTAGACTCATGGGAACAGTTCTTGGCTCCGAAGCCACAGGACACGAATGGCTGTGGACCTGCCATGTGTGTTTCTCTCCAGCCCTGTCCCCTGACGCAACTCCGCCATCGTTCTGCATGGGGTGGCCTCACAGCTGGCTCTCAAAAGTGACGGAGATGGCCCTGAATCCCTGCACCCTTCTTTCCAGCTTAGACCCCAACAGCTGGCTCAGCTTCCGCTTTTAAATTAATTGGCCGCCATTCCTGCTGTCATAGCGAGTAAGGTCTGTGTCGATGACGTGGCTTTACACTCGGTGGACGTGGCTGTGCCCAGCTCAGCAATCTGTTTTGACAGATAACAGAGAAAAAAATACATAGTTCAGCTTCAACTGTGTCAAATCGGGGATCCTGTTTGGGTGGCTTTCTCTGGAGTCAACAGGCAGATATTAAATAGCCTCATCGCACAGGTCAATTCATTTAGCTAATGAGGTGTGTGGGTGGGAGGTGGGGGGGCCAACGCACCCTTTTAACTTAACAAGTGACATCACTCAATGTTGCCTTTCGCCCGGAGCTTTGCTCTGCCATCTCCATGGTCGGGAGAGCCGACCGCCTGGCACTTGTTTCTGGAACTTTGGAGGTGAGCATTCTCTCTCTGTGGCTGCAATTCAATTCAACCCTCCGCCCGAAATCGGGCAGCTTGCAAGCTCCCTGCGGCAGGGTCACCGAACACCCTGCAGGAGGCCCTGGGGGCTCAGTTTTCACCACCGATCCATCACCGAGGCAGCGGAACCCCTCCCTGGCCCTCAGAGCCTCCATCTGCAGTGGATCGCAATCACGCAACATTCCGCTGATAACTCACTACACATTTCTTTTGAGGGTTTCTTTTTTTTCCTTTCGGTCATACTTTGGAGCCCATAGAAAAAAATGGGGGTGGGGGGAGCAGGGTTGGGGAAGCCACTGTGAACGTTTTTGTAGGACTTTAGAATCCGTGTAGCTCAAGGCATTGGGGGGAACAGTGAGTGAGGAACAGTGGTGGTGGTCTGCAGTCCCATGGGTGGGTCTTATCTTTCCGTGGGGAGAGTGGGCCTCCCCTGGGGAGGGAGCTGGGGCCGGTCTTCTGGGTATAATATCCAGCCCCCCACCCGCAGCCTCCTGAGGCTGGGCTCCCAGTCACCAGAGCAGGGGATGGCGGGTAGTGTGTGGATTCAGAGTCTCAGGTCGGTGTGGACCCCAGGATGCATCCTGGGGGCTCTGCCCTATGGTCACGGGATGGAGGGGAGCGTGGGCCCCAGTCCCTGAGGGTGTCGGGGGGGGTCTGGGGCATAGGAAGTGCTCCACGTTCCTGCTGAGGTCACAAGCTAAATTATTGATGTTTGAAAGAAAGGGAAGACGGGGGAACCCTTTGGTGCCTTTCTTGGACACCCTGAAGTTCCCATCACCAAAAAAAAAACAATGAGCTGATCCTTTGAGATGAGCGGCCCCATGGAAATGCCATCAAAGGTCCTTGGGTTTCTCGGAGGCCGCACGGAGGAGGCTTTCTCAGCATCTCTTGCCGTCAGGGACTCTGCTCGCCAGTGTGCTTGTGTCACCTGGAAAAGGGTCCTTGGAACCAGGGAGGCCCTCTGCGGCGACGGGCCACTCACTGCACGCAGATGACAGCTGTGTTGGCCACCAGCTTCTGTCGCCTTGGCTGCCAGGATGCTCAGGGCCGAGGTGGGGACCACCTGGAGCACACCCCACCTCTTCTCTGGAGTGAGGTGGGCAAGTCTCCCTGTCTTGTACGTCAGTTATAAGTTGCCCCCGAACCCTTCTGGAGGTCAGTGCGGTATAAATCAGAAAGAAGGGACACCGGCAACTTCCCGGAGCCGGTCTGGCTGACCAGCCTCCTGGCCGTCCAGCCTCTGGTCTCCTTGCCCCTTGTTGTCTCAGGGGCGGCTAAACTAAGATGGGTCTGGTCTATCGGCCTGTGTCCAGCATCCCAGACCCTGGATGTGAGCGCCCTGGCCATCCCTCCGCCCCCACCCCGTTCCCCCACCCTAACTGGCCCTCAGCACTTGGCCACGTGCCTGGGTTCTGATCGCCGATCCTGCCTTCTGTTGCTGACCCGGTGCCCCCAGGCGGCAGCCGCCGGCCAGTGTTCGCCAGGGGGGTGGGAAGGCTTCTCACTGGTGGTGCCTCAGGGGACTTTAGGTAGCCCCTGACGTGGTTTCGAGTGACACTGAAACCCAGGGTGGGCAAGTTATCTCCTTTTTAAATCGCTCTCACGTCTTTTAAAACATATATTTATTTTTAGAGGCAGGGGAAGGGAAGGAGAAAGAGAGGGACAGAAACATCAATTGCTTGCCTCCTGTGTGTGCCCTGATTGGTGACCGCCTGTGCCCTGACCGGAAATCGAACTGGTGACCCTTTGCTCTGCAGGGCGACACCCAACTCATGGAACCACGCTGGTCAGGACCACTCTCGATTCCCTTCATTCCAGCAAGGAGCAGGCCCCCGTGTGTGGCCAGTGTGTCTCAGACTCCTCCCCGACCCTGAGCAGCCTCCCTGCAGAAAGTAGGTGACTGGAGCCTCTGCTGGCAGCAGGAGTTCATAGCATTGCCTCGTTTTTGGTCTTTTTGGGGGCCAGGATCCTATATCTTTTTTCACTGTTTACCAGCGTGTGACCCTGGGGCAAAGAGTCCCCTCCAAGGGCCTCAGTTTCTTGGCCTGTCACGGGGCCTGACTGTCTCCATCCCACCCTAGCCCTGCTGGTAAAAGGAGACACTCTGTGTGCACGGTGCCCTCCGGACCCGAACCCTGGGCAGGGTGGCCCCCGGGTGGCGTGGGAAGGGCCGGGCCCGCGGGCTGGCAGATCTGGGTTAGAATTCCCCTTTGCCACCCGCTGCGTGGCTTTGGGGCTGGCGGCTGTGGGTCTCAGAGCCTCGGCCTCTCCATCGGCAACATTTGGGTAATGGAACCTGCTCCTGCCATCACTGGGGGGAGTCGATACCCAGTGCAGAGCAGACACTTGACACATAGTAGCCATTATTATTATTATTACTGCCACTGCTTAATTCGCCTAAAGCATCGACTCCCCAGGAATCAATAGTCTCCCAGTTTCCAGAGAGAGCCCCATAAATTTTCAGCAAACCCTATACAGTAAGAGTCTCCATCCAGAACGAATCATTCCCAAGGTGGGAGTTCATTCATTTCCCTGGAATTTGTTGATTTTAATATTAAGTACAGGGCCCTTCCTCAGCAACTTCTAGAAAGTCGTTCTGGACTTCAAACTCCAGGGCCAGTTCTGCAGGAGAGGAAGGAGGGGAGGGGGGAGAACAGCCTCTAAGGCGAGAGGAAAATTCCAGTGTCTGGGCTCTGCCTCCGCACTGCGCACGGACTGCGTGAGCATCCAGCAGAGGGCACAGAAACGCATTAACATTTAGAAAAACGCCGGTGTTTGTGTTCATCAGAAATGTTAGAGATGCCGCAGTCTGCGCCACATTCAAAACTCAAGAGCAGGGCTGGGTGTCGGGGGCTCACAGGGGGGCACCTCTGCCCAGACCCCTGAGGTTGCCTGCAAAACGTGGGCATCCTACGCACATCTCTGCTGTGAGAGCACTCACAGCTCTCGTCACACCCTGAGAGGGTCTGCGGTGCCCCTACCCGCAGGTTTTCAAACGGGGAGACCAACCCCACCGGTTGTCACATGAAATCAACACATTCCTGCCATGTCACCTCCACATGGGGCAGCTGTGCCTTGTCAGTGTGCAATTGGAAAAGTGACAAATGCTCACAACCTCTGGGGCTGTGAGGTGCATGTGTGCACGCAGGTGTCTGGGAAATGGCTCTTTCGTCACTATGGGGATGGCGGTCCTGCGTCGTCAGGATGCAGAACGCCATGCCTCGGCCCAGCCGCTCTTTTGTCAATTCGTCCTGCGGAGACAAAACGCAGCGACATAATGAGGCGTGTGCACATATGTCCCCGGCAGCTGCTCACGGTGGCAAGTGCCCCAGATGCCCACCGGTGGGAGTAACGGTGGGACATTTTGCAGCTATTAAAACATGGCTGGATTGTGTGTATCGGCCAAGGAGTGGCCACGAGGGGTGTCTGTGACCTGACAGTGAGAGAAAACCAGCGGGAGGGCCAGGAGATGCGTTTAAAAAGCAGGCAGACCCAACGGAGGGTGCCTCGAGGGGTCCTACCTTCTCTCCTTTTTATTGTCTTAATGGTGGTAGAACGCACACAACACGAATTTACCGTGCATGACCTTCACAGTGTTGTGTAACCATCGCCACTGCCTGCTTTTCATCACCCTAAAAAGAACCCCCCGGGCCCTCTGTCCCCACAACCTAACCCTGGATGGCCACTGACCTACTTTCTGTCTCTGTGGATCTGTCCAGTGGGG